TACTTTTGAAAAGCTGGGGATGAACTATGCTTCAAAGATGACTTTTAAAACAGTGGTAACTGAGACAAGCATGGTACAGGGATTGACTGATTTTCCAAGATGTGCACACATTGACTTATAATTAAGCATTTAAAATGTTTTTTTTTCTCTTCGGACAATGAAACTGTTGTTCTTCAAGGGTATGAAAGTTTTAACAATATCCATGTTTTTCTTCTTCAGTTTTATACACACACACACACACACACACATACACACACACACACACACACACACACACACACATATGACAATGCAGTTCAAAAACCAATCTGAAAATGAGGGAGGATCAGCAGGAACATATATTCATTTCTGCCTGCTTGTTATTTTTCTGTTAGAGGCTGACATTCAGAGAGGGGAGCTACTGACCTATCAGAAAGTCAGGTCTCCAAATACAACCGGTTTGAACAACTTACCTCTTAGTAGCACCAGGTTTGGAAAGTTGAGGTGAAGTTACTTCTGTTTATTGTTTCACATTTGTTCCTGTCCAAGCATCCCCACTGCCTTGAGGCATTTGTTTGGCCTTGGCAGGATTAATGTAAACAGTATTTTCCACGAGTTATTATATTCTTTTGTTTTGATGGTTATAAAGCTCAACTTGATGCACCCTTGATTGATTTATTTCAATAATGCATTTTTATAATTTCTCTCCCTCTACCTCCCATCGGAGTGGGAGCTCCCCCATCCTCACTTCTGATAAACACATTGATTTATTTAAGCCAGTGTTGTCTTTGTCGCTTTCTCGGCAGACCACCTTCTTCCCAACGAGCAGACGCATGATTTACTGTGGAGGATGACAATGAGCCTTCTTCTCAGGGCTCCATTGTCTGTAGCCTAAACCAGCTGTCTATTAAAATGGTTTCACTTAAAATAGTCAAGGCTGTTTATATGCCCCTGGGATCTCCCAGCTGATCCAACCTCAACCATCTTGCCTCAAACCTCACAGAAGCATACATTTAAATTAGTGAGAGAAGCTGAAATGAACCCAAAATTAGTGTTAGAAGATGCCTATCCTTGGGGGTGGTGTTTAGCGTCTGGATTTGCTCAACTGTGAGCCAGTCTCACTGTGCATGCTAAATGTACACAGTAGAGATGCTTTCTAGTAGAGGAGCAAGCTGGAGTGGGAACTTCGAGCAGTGGGGGAAAAGGCCAAAGTCTGTCTTAGTGTTACTGTGACACTTGAGCTACCCAAATAAATCTATCATATCTACCTTGTACCTGGTCCCATCCAAATATTCATCTCTGGACCAATATTTTCTCTGTGTTGTGTATGTATGTGCATGCATGCATGCATATGTATTTTAATAAGTCTTTTCAGCGATAAGAAAACTGGGTAGAGGCTGGAGGGAGTTCTGCCTTTGAATTGCACAGGAAACCTTGCTCTCTTAATGTGACAGGGCAGTTTACAGTAGGAACAGGGATTTTATCCTTCCTATCTCATGGTAGACTCCCACTCTCTTTTACTGCAGAATTTCCCAGAAGCAGGTACTTCTTTTTCCACCCCTATGCCTTGAGAACCCTTCTTATTCTATTCAGGCACAGGGAGAAGAAAGGCAGAGGGAGAGGGAAGGCAGAAACCTCAGATTCCAGTTCTCCCCGGAGTTCTTAATTATTTCTGAGCAAATCCAAACTCTTGGTTTCATTTTTGTATGCTTGATTTGGAGAACGATTCTCTGTTTTGACTCCACTACCAGAAGCAAAATGGTAGCTTGGTATTTGGCAAAGAGATGTAGTATGGAGGGACTGGGCCTTTAATAAGTGATGTTCAGTTACCAAGGAGAAAACACAGGACTTCTGGGAGTCCCTGTCATCCATTGCCTGGGGGAGTCCTCAGTAGATTTGCCTTGAAGCTTATTATTAACTGGATATTATCATGGCCTCATTCATTTCAACTAGCAGCCTTAGTAATAACGTTTATCTCATCTAGAAAGTTCCAAACGGAGATCTTATGTAATAGATATGACTGTCACGCACCCCCAAATAGCATCATTTTTTTCTCTCCTGCTACCCACTGCTTCAACACAGAAAAGTTTTCTAGACCTGTAAACTGCTTATCAAGTTATTATTATTATTAATTATTATTATTATTAGCAGTAGTAGTAGTTTAGCAAGACAAACACTGAAGCTGAAGCAGAGGTTATGTTGAGTTCTAGGAGAACACAGAACCAATTTAGTGATAATAGGAGTTAGCATCATTTTTTTAGCACTATGCTTGAGATCTAGTCAGTAATTTAAAGTGTTTTCTTTCTTCCTTTCTTGAATTTTTTTAAAACAGTGATTGCAGGAAATAGAAGAGACACACATATAGTTTGAAAACATATTAAAATTATTTATTATTTAGTTTGTATGCTCAAGTGCACAGATATGCTCATGTGTGTAGGGGGGCTCATGCGTGCCACATTGTATGTGTGGAGGTCAAAGGACAAGTATCGGACAGTGGAAACTGCAGGAATGAAACTCAGGCTGTCAGGCTTTTTAGCAGACAATCTTTACCTTTTGTCCCATCTCACTTGCTTCAATTTTTGATTTTCAGAATATTTTTAATTAAAGAATTTTCTTGAATAAAGCAACTTTTTGGGAATTTGAAGAAATCTTTTAAGAATATTGGCAAAAGGGCCAGCGAGAATACTCAGAAGGTAAAGGTGCTTGCTGACAAGCCTGGAGACCTGAGTTCAATTTTAATCTCCACATGATGGAAAGACAGACCAACTCCTGAAATTTGATCTCTGACCTCATACATTCATGCATACACACATACACATATACATACATACATACATACATACACACACACACATACATACACACACACACACACACACACACACACACTCACACACACATAGTGGCACATGCCCTCCCAATATGATAAATAAATATAATAGGAAAAAGGAAAAGTTATGTATTCACACTAAAACTAGTGACTGAAGATTTGACACATCAGAAGACATTAATGTAGTGCAAATTATTGCCCCCCCCAAACCAGTTATGAGTGACTAATAAAGGGTGAGATATAACATTATACTGTGAAAAGCTAGCCTATGGTCACTGGTGGATGGTGGGTATCACTCTAAGGGAATGGTCAGAGTGTATGCTGTGAATAAACTGGTGGTTAAGTAGAACGTGGTTTAGAGGGAATTCAGCATCATTCTGTGCTGCTGTCCTGCCTTGAAGTCTAAGACTTTAATATGAGCTGGAGAACCAGAATAGAACCCAAACTGAAGGATATTCTACAAAGTAACTGGCCTGTATTTTCAACAATGTCAATGCCATGAACCACAATGACTGGAGGATATTCGGAATGAAAGGAGACATGACAGCTGAGCGTGGTGATTAGTACAGGATTTTCTTTCGCTGTAAAGGACATTATTAGGTAATTGGTAAATCTCAATAAGGTCTGGAGATTAGATTATTCTATTGTATCAATGCTAATTTTCTGATTTAGATAATTGTGCTGTGATTATGCATGAAAAAGCCTTGTTTTCAGGAAATGCATGCAAATATATTGAGGATATATCTGCAATTTGCTAAAAAGTGATTTAGGGGAAAAAGAAAAATGAAAGCAAATTTAGTAAAATGCAAACGTTTGAGGAATCTGGGTAATGAATATCCTATCCTGGACTTCTAAATACATTCTTCCAACCATTTTAGAAGTCCACAGTTAAAGTAAAATCATTTATTTCAAATATAAGGTTATGATGAGTTAGCCATAAAAGATAGTTTTGATGGACCAATGTTAGAGAAATGTGCTTTTTTTCCCCAACCACTTTTTCTTCATTTTAATTCACTGTAAAGTTTGATTTTGTCTGTGTTTAGATACTGTAATCAGGTCATGACCCATGGATCTGGCTACACTGGGTCTTAAGTCACAGTGGTTCTGTCTCCAAGCTCAAAACCATAGCACATGAGAGAGAATGACACGTTAGGCACAGACGTACTTTTATATACCACATAATAATAAGAATAATCTCTGGTTAATTTAAATAGTTTTGTCACCAAGAAGCTGAGGGTTCTGTGAATGTGTGAAAGTAATTTTATTAACAATTTGAAGCTGTGTTATATTAGTATTATGCAGTGATACAGTGTTAAGTGAGCTCAATGTATGTTGATGCAGAACCATGGTCTACCAATAGCATTGTGTGTCTCTTTGGCTGGGATAGTAACCTGTAGATCCACGTGCAAGCTTGAGGTTTGGGGGAACTTGGTGGATGTCTGAAAGCGAAATGTGATTGTGTTGCAAAAAAGAAAAGAGAGCAAAGCGCCCGTGGCTGGTGGTTGAGGGAATCCAGATTTTGAGACTGAGATGTAATTCTCTACTTAGGGAGCTGACTCTGTGATTTCATCCCCCACACAGCATATGCTGGCAAGGGTTCCCGTCTGGGCGGGTGTACACCCTGCAGCAGCACTTGCTTTCAGCCTCTCGGTAGGAAGAGGGGTTTCCCCTGATTGAATTGCTTCAGAAATGACGTAGTCAGTGCATAGACATATAGCTTTTCCTAAACTTATTTTCTGCTACTTGCCAGTAGAACACTCAATGTGGGGGCTGGGAGCAGCAAATGTGTGTGGCTGGCCAATCAAACCCACATGCCTCTCTACATTTGAGATACAAAATATTGCAACCTCTTCAGCCTTCTGGAGCATCCCTCTTTATTGATTAGACTTATTTTTATTCTGTATTGAAAAGAGAATTATGGTTGTCTTGACAACAGATGCCCATCGCGTGCTCTGGTCCAAAGATGTGCATAATGAGGTGGTTGATAGGGCAGAAAGGATCATATCCCATTCCACTCAATTTGGGCTGATCCTGAGCAACGCGTCCTGCAATAATCAGCCCAGTGAGGCTTTTTGCTCCTAAAAGTTAATTGGCCCCCCAGCAAGGGCGAGGTGGTGAAGAACTGGATTGTTATACATAACCCTCTGCTACCTGCTTCTATTTTTAGCTAAAAATATGCCTTTACTTTCAGGCCATAGTGTACGAAGGCCAAGACAAGAACCCTGAAATGTGCCGAGTGTTGCTCACACACGAGATCATGTGCAGGTAAGAAATTTTTTGCTCTCTCTCTCTCTCTCTCTCTCTCTCTCTCTCTCTCTCTCTCATTATAGAAGTAAAGATGAATTTGGATCACAAACCTAGGTGAAATAAGTTCTGTTGGGGGTGGGGATTATGTTTATTTCGGTTTTGGTAAATGGTCTAGAAGAATTCTAAGACACATTCAGTAGCGTCAAGGATCGCGGTGGGTCTTGTTTGTTTATTACATTTAATCGTGGGGAGAAGTCAGTTTGCGTTTTTGATACTTCACTGTTAATGGCCACAGAGCAGCACCCTCCCTCATTCTTCCCAGTGGAGTCAAATAGAATACAACCTCCTTTTTGGTAACATTTGCACTCAACTGCGTGCTTAGTAAAAAACAAGTTCTCTTGAAGTCAGTAGAGGCTTCTGTTTGGGTCAACTTGAAAGTTACACTTCCTCCTTTTGAGTTCTTCTACTTAATATAACAGCTCCATACCTGAGCGCCTCATTTCTTCTTAAACTGATCTCTCTCTCTCTCTCTCTCTCTCTCTCTCTCTCTCTCTCTCTCCCTCCCTCCCTCTCCCTCTCTCTCCCTTCCTCTGTGTCTCTCTCTGTCTCTATCTCTCCTCTTTTCTCCTGTGGATGGTTTGTTAGTTATCCTGTTCATATCTGAACGTGAAGCTAATATTTCTTGGGAGTAGTGAGCCTTGAAGTTTTGGGGAAGGATACTGGAAAGGAGACCACAAAAGGTCTAATAATTCATGTTCCTCACAGATGAGTCTCTTTCTGCTGTGATCATGGCGGAGTGGCATCTGAGACCTCTGCCAGGCCTTCGAGGGAGAGGGACAAAGGCAGCCTTTTCACTTATGCTCTTATTCCTTGTAAAATAAACCAGGATTTTGCTCCCAATATCTCCCAAGTAATTGGATAAAGCAGGGAGATGCCACTTGACATCAGAGGAGAGTTCCTAATTGCTTTGTTAGCTAAACAGGCTCTCTCTGGCACAATGTATGTTTGGCTACTGAATGTCATTGACCAGTCTTCGTGGGTCTTCAGCTGCCATCTCGGCATGGGTAGCCCTCACCGGCTGCTCATGGACTCTTGGGACAAACAATGTCACAATTCTACAGGTGGAAAGAGACTCAAAAGGGCTTTGTGTGTTTTCTGAGTAAAATCCCAAATATTATCATTTGTTTCTATAAAAATCCTGGGTTTCGTTCCTTTTCAAAAAAATACTTCTGATTTATAGTTCTAAGATATACAAGAGTTTCACACATTTTCACTTCAGTGATTTGTAAAACCTGTTAATTATTCTAAAAGCCAGGTTGTTGTTTTTTTTTCTCCAGACTTAAGACAGTAGCAGAACACTCCCAAATGGTGTGGGATTCCTTCCTAAGTAGGAAAAGTTAGTTTTAGCCAGTATGTATGAACTGGATATAATCTAGCTGAGTGGGACCTTTTTAGAATGAAAGGAGCAAAGCCCATTTTGAAAAGCAGTAAAACATAACCTTGTCTATGTTACTGCTTCCCCAACCGTGCCTCTATTATTTTAGCCTTCTACAATTAACATGCCATTAGACTGAACTCTCCACGCAGAGCTGCATATGACTGTAGCAAAACAGGAAACAGGAAGATGGATTTCCACGAACAGGCCAAGCACTATCTATACATCATTGATTTGCATTTCGTATCTGCATATGTTTGGATTATGCTGGAGAGAATTCTATTCTTGAACTACTTAGAGATATATTATGCCTCTCATGCACAGGGCCCCCTCTATTAATGCAGTTTATATTTTCCTTGTTTTTAAAATTCATTGGTCCAAAGTGCTTTATTATGCTGGTTGGTGTGCTTTACTGCTGACGTTCTCTCTATTTTTCAGAAACATAAAAATAGCAAAAAAATAAAATTCTCAAGCCACGGAAGGCAAATGACACTGTTTGTACTGCGTGGCGAAGAGGGAAAAGCCATATTCCAAATGTCATCTTGCTAATGTTACAGATTACTGCTTTCCCTGGCTGCCTGTAGATGTGGAAGGGGTACTGTTTGTTTACAGGCTACCATGACCCCATTACACAAACCTGTCATCTATTGTGTGGCTAACAGTCTTTTAAATTGCAAATCTGATGCTCTTTAGGGGGCTTTAGGAAAAAAAATCTCACTTTCCATACCATCCTATTTCTCTTGATTTCTTGCCTGTTGTAAGTGGAAGTTGGGATGTGCTGAATTTGCACCAGGGGTGCAAATGCAGCCTCAATTATAAGCATAAAATTAGAATCTGTTCACCATTAATCAGCCTGGCTAATTGCTATGCACCACCATTAGCCATATGGTGTGAAAGACAGCTTGCTCTCCCCAAGATGAAATTTCTTCATTGCAGACATGAAATAGTGAAGGCCCTGGATTTTAAAATAGCTTGTTTTAGATATTTAATTTCTAAACAACTTTCTGCAGTGCTTTCTATCAAAGCTAACGGCACAATAAAACTTTTCGTTGATGTCACAAAAGCTGTATGTTTATAGTACGATGGCTATGATGAAGGACAGAATTTCGATCCACAAGAAAGGGCTTGGAGCATTCTGTTCATTATAGGCAAAAGGAAGGGAAAAGGAAAAGATAAGCAAGGGACAGTCCTGTCTCAGGTGCTGTAAATTAAGAAGGGGGAGGAGAAGGAGAAAACCATTGTGTTTTGTGGAGAAGGTGACCCCATTGTGTGAGATGGCTAAAAAAATTGCCATCATTAGTTTATTGACGCTCTTTGATTTGAAGATGCAGAGCACTTCTATAACATTATGAGAGATCACACCAATCACGTGTGGTGGTCAAGTTCTACAGATAATATGGCTCTATGAATCCTTTCATTTATTTTTCTTAAGAGTAGGAGTCTATAAGGGTTTTGCTTATGTGAGGACCCTAACCTCTGTGTTTCAATGCAAATGAAAACCAGGAACTCAGCTTAGTAGGGAGACTTGGTATCCAGCTCTCCAGCAGGCTGCAGGCAGGTGTTCTTCATTTCCAGTACCCAGGGAGATGGCAGGCCAGAGGCACCCTCCTAAGGAAGGTTCTTGCTTATTTTATTTTGTAAAAGAACCACAACACTCTCAAGGCTAGCCTGCTTACTTGATAGAGTTTTTTTTTTTTTTTCCTTACTTGTTTCCAGGTTTAGTCCAGTTTCCTCCTTCAGACACTTATGTGTGGCTTCTCCAGGGAAGCACCTCTGGCCCTTGGCCCAAGTCATAACCCCTTGTAGGCTGTCCAGAGTACCGGGTGCTTTTAACTCCATAGCACTCCCTGTCCTTGCAATGGCACCTACTCTCTGTCTTAATTCAGCCAAGTCCTTTAAAGGGCAGGAAGTGACTCAGTTTACTCCACGCTTCAGCTGTCCCATTTGTGAAATGGGGTTTTTAATGCTATCTCATAGGGTGGTAGTGAAGGTTAAATGCCATAGTCCCTATAAATCTTACCTTGATGCTTGGCAGAGTCAGAACGGAAAGCCTGTTATGATTTGAAGCAGTATTAATAGAAACAGTAGTAGAGAACTCATCCGTGCCTGGCCAAGTATTTGGTACTTTGTTGCTCCAAGTAGCTGAGGGTAAGAAAGCGTTGAAGGGAGATTTAGTGTCTATCAAAACCAGAATGTACCCGGTTTGCTACAGTTGTGGTGATTATATATCTTCATTGTTAGTACCTACTATGTGCAAACCCTTGTGGAATTGAGAGTAAAAAATTTCAGGTGCCATAGTAGGAGAGCTTGAAGTTGGAAGGTTTAAACAGCTAATTAGACTTCACTGGGCAAAGAAAGGGTTTGATGTGGTGGAGGGTTGAGGTAAAGGACTCTGAGGTGGGAGAAATATTTGTAGGTGGGTCGAATCCGTGGGAACAGAGGTGGGGGGATGGGAAAGGGATTTTTAGAGACTGCCTAAAGAAGTGTTTGTGAGCAGGGTTGCTCTGTGGAGGTTTACAGCTGAACAGACTTGTGTCCTGGACCTGGGAAGAGGGACTTTGTCAAAGATAAGCAGCTTCAGACTCTGCTTTTCAAAGGCAAGAACTGAGGCTCTGTGGGAGATGGGGTGGAGAATTCAGAGTAAGAAGAGAGGACTCACTGATTCCATTCTTAAGAGGAATGATGATGTTGAATAAGAAGATCACACTGTAGAATTAGAAAGAACTTTGAGCATATAAGGGGAAATCAACTACAGGAGATTTCAACGATGATGAGACACGGATGGGCACAAAGAGAAAAAAGCCCCCAGGCCACCAGTGACTCAGGAAGTAGAGTCATGTAGGTCCCTGAGTCTCATTTCAGTTTTGATAGGCCCACGTGGCACAAAGTGCAGGCCACTTTTACAGTAAGAATACTGATCAGAGAAGAAATGAACCCTAGACAAATGAAGAAAAACTACACAATGCTGGCAAACATGGAGGGAGCCAGTCAGGAGCGAAGAGTGCCAGATATTAACCCCAGCAGTACACAAGGCCAAGAGTGCTCAGTCAAAGACACAACAGGATTGAGCGCTTGAAGGTTGAGTGTTCCTAAGACAAGTAACTTTAGGTGTGAGAGGATGGCTGAGGCCAGAGGAGTCAATGTGCAGATTCCTTCAGAACTGATCCCCTGTCCAGACTGTCCAGGTAATCCACAGAGCTCATTCTCCAGTCAGTTTGGATGAGTAGGGTAGGAATCTTAATTTTTACTGGAATGCTCACTTTAGCAGGAAGTGTTGCACTTCTCTGTAATTCCTGCACCTGGGAGACAGAGGCAGGGGCAGGGGCAGGGGCAGGGGCAGGGGCAGGGGCAGGGAGGGAGAGAGAGAGAGAGAGAGAGAGAGAGAGAGAGAGAGAGAGAGAGAGAGAGAGAAGCAGAGAGGGAGGCTCAGGCACAGGTACAGGTAGAGAGGCACAGGCACAGGCACAGGCACAGGCACAGCCACAGGCACAGGCACAGGATCTCTGTATGTTTGAGGCTAGCATGTGATGGATAGTGAGTTCTGGACCAATCAGAGCTATGTAACTCCTCTTTTTTTCTATAT